CATCCAAAGAAGATGGGTGTCTAAGACATTCCCACAGCTCCTGGAGAGCATGCAAGCCTTGGCTACCTGGCTGTATCTCCCATATCTGAAGATTTCCTGTCTTCTATCAATTTTTATACCCAACTGGGAAAGATAAGCCATTCAAAGTTATTTCCTTTCTCCTCTCCTAGTCCCAACTTGCATCTTCTCTCTTAAACTTCTGAAAGATTTGCTTTTCAATTGTGCCACAGACCTGCTTACATGAATAACAATACAGTGGAGAGAGATTAAAAGCTCAATGGAGTCTGAACTGGGATAACTTTGATCCATTAAAAAGATACGCTCCATTAAAGGGGCATGTCTCCAGAGATTCATGTTGTGGATGAAAGGTGGGCTTCAATACAAACAGAAGCCCCCTGGGGCTGGGACAGTAGCTTGCAGGGTTGGGGATGATGATGCCTGGCACTATATAGACTTTTAAGTCTTGAAGCCCTCAGATGGTTCTCAACCTTCCTAATGCTGTAATCCTTTAATACAATTCCTCATGTTGTGGTGATTCCCCAACCCTAACCATACAATGATTTTTGTTGCTACTTCCTAATTGTAATTTTACTACTGTTATGAATTGTAAATATTTTTGGAGCTAAGAGTTTTGTCAAGGGGGTCATGACCCTTAGGTTGAGAACTGTTGTGACCCCAAGGGTCTAAAAGTGAGTCACAGTAACTGAAACCTCATGTAAAGGATTGAAGCTAAACTGCTCTTTCTGAATGCCTGAAACATATTTTTCACTTAGGGAGAAGCCCAATCTTGTCAGACTGAGTAGGGAGCAGTCGGATTGCAGCTGAGCTGCTGCTCTGGACCAGAGGGAGGAAGGCTTTGGTCTCTTTCTGGGCTAGTACTTGGCATGGCTTCCTGCCTTGCCTTTACTCACATCATGTAAACCTACACCAGTCATAAGAAAGCAAGACCCCTCCATCCTCTGGTTGTAAAGGGGAGGAAACATAACCTGGACCTCGTAACATTTTATTATGTTTGTGAAGGGTTCTCTTTCCCTAATCCTGGAGACAGTGAAACAAAAATTGTCACATGCCAGTAGTTGATTTGTTAAATTAAAAAAAAAAAATGTTGCTGTTGTTGTATGACTTTCAAATGATCTTAATACAACAAATGCAGACTTAGAATACAATTGAAATCAACAGTCTTGGCAGGAGACACCCACTAACAAGGGTAGAAGAGTAGTGGTGGCACTTATTGTTAAAAGCTACACTCCTTTCTGCAGTGTGTCTTCTAGGGTCCAAACTTAAATGCATTGCAGGCCAGAGCCCAGCAGAGCAGCCTAGGTGGGATCAGTTGAGCTTGGGTACACAGCTTACTAGGTATGATGAGACTGTGAACATCTGCCTCTCATCTGCAACCAGTCATAGTTATTAGGCCCGTGTAGCCAAGCTAAGACTTTAGGTATTTTTTTTTAAAGCAAAGCCCAAAATAAAAAATTTCATGTGAAATCACCCCTAATCTAGAAGTTGACAACCCATGCGTTGCTGGGTTTTGTTTTGGGTTCCCCAGCCTTTTTTAAACAATACTAGGATCAAACAAATCCCACCCGTGGGATAGACTTGCCCTTGGCTCATGGGTTTCCCATACGCACTCCATGTTGTGCTGGACTTTCTGTAAGAGAATATGTCATCAGTTGGGAAAGGAGGCTCTGGGTGGGTGGAGGGGGCTAAAGAGTAGGAAAGAAAAATCAACTAGAGTCCAGCTCACTTGCTTATCTTGTATCATCATTTGAAGCAGCTGCCTAGACAGACCTCAGCACCCCCATCTCCATGTCTTGAAAGGTGATGCTGGTGCCCAGTGGAAAGACACATGAGAAAGGGAGAGACCCAATAATGACCACAGGGACAACTGAAATGAAACACCTGGCAATGTGACCAGGACTGATAGACTGTGGGGATTTCCAGACTTTACAAGTGACAACATAAATACACCCAAAGTGACCCTCAAGAGAGAGAAAAACATTGAAACCACACAGAAGGAACAGGGTCACAGACAGAACAAGCATTCTTAAAGGAGATGGCTCTGTAGGAAGCAAAGGAATGTTCCAGATGCAGTGTCTTCTTGTCTTTTGGCCTGTAGAGTCAAGAAAATGTCATCCAGAGGGAGAGCTGGCAGGCTGACCAACCCAGCTACCACCCAGGCCCAGAGAACCAGGGCTATGAGCTGGCCAACCCCAAAATTCGTCCCATATATGATCTGCTGGAGCATATAAAAAGCAGATCCAAAGCTGCAGGATCTCCATGATATAAGGAAACAACAGGATGCTCAAGAGGAGTACCAGTGAGGGGCCAGCAGAAACCAGAGACCTCAAACCAACCAATGACTTGTTGCAATTACCACTCACATATAAAGATGTATGGGCTGAGGGGTACACTGTGTGACTCACTGTGCCACATTGAAGCTTCCACAATGTTGCAGGGGTACAGGACAGAGTGAAAGGACAGGGAGATGAATGGGATCAGGATTATGATGTGAAATCACAAAGAATTAAATAAGAAGTTAAAAAGAAAGAAAAAGAAAATCCCATTCCTACCCTCCAAGAGCAAATACAAAGATTTTTATATCTGCTTTGATGTGGTGGTCCATATTATCTTCTAGATCTGTTCTGCTAGCATGGCTACATTTAAAGGAACATTGCCCTTTCTACTGTCAGAACACCAAAAAATGGATTCAGTGACCACATGTTAATCGGGTTGCCTGAGGCATATTCATCAGCAATTTGTATTTAGTCTTGTATTTCTGTGCATTTAAAGATCCACTTGGTTCCCAGTTCTGGTGTATGTCTTTCATAATATTTCTGTGTTCTCTGTGATCCTGGTCCATTACTGTCCTATCCTAAACTATCTCCTTATATTATAAAATGGTACAATTATGATAAATATAAAAACCACTCTCTTACCTAATTTTATTCTCCTTCCCTTGCCACAGATCTGGATCATTTTATGTCATTTTAATTACAATAGATAAAGTCTATCCAAGAAGGAATTAGGGCGTTAGTTGCTGCTGGTTGTACTAGCCACGACACACAGTGTCAGCATCGTGTTTTTCACTGAAGCCATGGAAATGGCCTGTGGATCTATAGTTCATCCTAGAGGTGCAGACTGGGGAAAAATGTAAGCTAGAAGAAAGGCTATTAGCTGATGAGCTGAAACCCACAGTCTCGGGTAGGGGAGTCTCTGAACCTGTGAATGTGTGCAAGAAAAATCACTATGAGTCATTCGAAAGTACAAGGATGTGTGTTTTCCTCTGAAAAGCTCTGTGAGGATTACAGGGAAAGTAAGTGCTTTCATATCTAAGCACATGGCTTCTGAACTCTAGATATTTTTTTAGCAATAATAAAATGTCTGGTTTTAAGTTTTACTTTTACAAATGCAGTTTTTCTTTTTCTTTAAAACTGTGATTTCAGAAGAACTGTATCCATATGTTTAAATACATCATTTCATTTGAGTTTGAAACAACACCTAATCTATTCTTGGATGGCTCTGTGTTATAATTAAGTATGTAAGTGATACAAGTATGTGGAAAGGGAAGAGGAACATGGAAAATTAAATTAGGTCGTAGGTTTGAGGTGTGATTTCTTTTTCTGTAATATGGCTACACCATTTCCATGACTTAAGGGGAATGAATCAAAATCTTTAAAAAAAGGATGTGCTTAGAATTATCATGTCCTTTCAAGAAAATAAGTCAGCTATCCAGAAATGATGTCACATGCTTGCAATCTTTGGAAGCAGAGGCAGGAGAATCACTTAATGTTAGAGACCAATTTAGTCTACATTGTTCCAGGCTAGCCAGGGCTATATAGCATGACCCTGTCCCAATAACATAAATTTAAAAGCCTATTTAGACTCTTGGTCTTGTGTGAAGAAGCTCATTTTCATCCACCTAGATGCACTTTCACTGTCTAGTAATCTTTGTATTCAGTAAGACACGTCTGCACAACAGAATCCAAAGAGCAAGACAGGAACTATTTATGACACTCACATGTGGTTACCTAATACAATTTGTGTAATAAGAAAGACACACTGCAGGAACAGAATCTTTTTTCAGTATCTGAGAGCTGACAGAGGATAATTGCACTCCAAGGTACCACCAGGAGATCTCTATTTCTGTTCTTGACATGTGTGGGTACCACTGTCACTGCCAATGGTGATGATGATAAGTGATGGGAAAATGAAGTGGGAAGTGATGTCTCTTACTCTGACAGATTTAAAGGATTGCCATAGGCATCCCCAAGGCAAGTGCTGACGGAGGACTTTCTGGTGTCTGTGTCGGGTCATTCTGGTGCTGTCAGCCAATTCTACTTAAAGCAGAGGACATTGAAATAACTCAATTCAAATTGAGACAAGCCCCACCTCCTTCCATGTCTCCCTCACCTCTCTCGTTAAATTTGAGATTCACACCACATATTCTAAACCAGCCATTGCTTTTGATTAGTTGGTATCTGTCTTATACCTGTGTGATTACTATGGAGATGAAGATTTCATTGCTCCATATACAGCAGCCAAGGATATGCCCACAGATAATACCTGAACACAGTTTCCCTAACAGCTCCAGGAGATTGTCTTTCCATAAAGCTCAAAGGTTTACCCAGGGTATGGTAAGGGCAGGGTATGGGCTTCCTTGAAAGCTAACATTTATCATAGGGAAAAACTCTGACCTGGGTCACTGCCCAGGAGAAGATAAGTGCAAATCAAGTAAAGCAAAGGATTATGGGTGCTCCCTGGGGAGTTGAGCTGAGGACTGAAGGAGCTGTGCTCCTGGCCTTTGGAAGGCCTGGTTTTGTGGGGAGGAAATGTACCCCAGGGCAAAGCTATTATCCAATTACTTTTTCTGGTTTTATTTATTCAAATAAGGATAATACTTTTAGTTATAAATAGCTAAACTTTGGCCTTTCTTTTCTGTTTATGCCTTATCCAGGAAATTATAAGTATTTGACCTTACTCAAAATGCACAAAGAGGAATAATGGAAGCCCCTGAATACCTTGATTTGGATGAAATTGACTTCAGTGATGACATTTCTGTAAGTATTACTACTTACAAGCAGTATTTTCACAGTGTTCTGCCCTCATGCTTATGAGCTGCTTTCTTTGTATTATCTGTATTTGTAAAATCTGTATTCCCATGACTCTCCCAACTACATTTATGAACTGAAAGCAAGCTGTGTTAGAAACACAGTGTGGTTTGGGGATGGGGCTCTCTGGGTTTAAGAAAGAATGATGCCAAATTATGTATGAGCTAGAGGTGAGGGGTTGCTTAGCATTCCATTCCTAATGTGTTCCAAGGTTGTTACAAAATTACAGATGAGTCTATTTGTAAAGCAGCACATGTACATAATTTTACATGTTCATTCCCAATTTCCTTATATGTCTGTATCGCAACTAGCATTCTCTCAAGGTCACAGGAACATAGACTGAAGCCAACTTGTCATTTAGTTGGTGAAAAATAAAGGGAGGGGGTTAGAGATGGCTAAGCAATTAGGAGCAAGTACTGTTCTTCTAGTTCAGTACCCAGCATCCATATCAGGTGGCTAACAATCACTTTTCATTCCAGCTCCACAGGATCCAACACCCTTTTTTAGCCTCTACAGACATAACACTTATGTGCACACATACAAAAATAAATATTAAAGAGAAAGGGTACTTTTCTAATAATTGGGAACATCAAAACACAGATTGGACACTTAGGAATATTGACAAGTCATGTGCAGATAATACCACATTACCTGATATCTGTGGTCCTATCATTCCAAGGCACTGTGGACTGATGAGTTCCTCAGTTCCCCTAACACTCATGTCCTGCTTCTTCTCCATTCACTAAAGCTTCTGGGAAAATTGTCTACATGAGGCTTGCCTAGAGCTTCGTATTGTATTCCATGTATTCCATGCCATACAGTCAGCTCTGATCCCCAGCAACATGTTAGCACTATTGCCCTGGGAGCTCACAGCTTCCGACCTCATGTTCTTTGCTCTCTCAGGGCCTGGAGTTTTGGGTCGCCACTGGATGATGCCCCCACACAGTGGGCTGACTTAGACATGCATTTAGCTGGAAGTGTATTCCTGTGCCGTACTCCTCACTGCACATACAGTAATAGTTGGACTATACATGACAGTTGGATTACAGGTGTAGATAGGACAAATCACCTCCTTCATACAACTTTGTATCATTCTGTTTTTGAACTAGAAAAATATCCCTTTGTTCTTCAGCTTATTTCAGCTTCTAGTAAATTTTTGCTGGTCGTTATTCAGACAAATTTGAAGTAAGAGTCCTCTTTTCCATGATTTGTGTATGTCTATCAGCCACCATGCTTGACTTGAGAAAGTGTTCAGAATGTAGGTCTTTTGTGTCTTCTCCTGTCAAGATATTTGTATTTGCTCTGAACATAGTTTTTTGGGTCACTGATGTAGACTATCATATCATCTGCAAATAGTGAAAGTTTGACTTCTTCCTTTTCAATTTGTATCCCCTTGATCTCCTTTTGTTGTGTTATTGCTCTAGCTAGAACTTCAAGGATAATATTGAAGAGGTATGCAGAGAGTGGACAGCTTTGTCTTGTTCCCAATTTTAGGAGAATCACGTTGAGTTTCTCTCCATTTAGTTTCATGTTGGCTGTTGGTTCACTGTATATTGCCTTTATTATGTTTAGGTATGTTCCTGTTATCCTTGATCTCACCAAGACCTTTATCATGAATTGGGTGTTGGATTTTGTCAAAGGTTTTTTCAGCATCTAGTGAGATGATCATGTGG